CGGGCCATGTGGGGCCACCTGCTGGAGCTGCAGCCTCAGACCGGTGAGCTGCCGGAAGAGGTGGAGAGCTGGGCGGGGAGGGTGCTGCCCTTGGTTCTGGGAGCCGCCAGCCCTCTGCCCTGTGCCTCGCTTCTCAACTGCTCTGGTTTTAGGGGAATCCGGCAGTGGCATCAGCCGTGACGATTACATTGGCCAAGTGGCCAAGGACATAGAAAACAAGATGCCTAAGGTCTTTGACTTGGACCAGGTCCGGAAGCACCTTGGCCTGGGCCTCTCACCTACCTCGGTCGTGCTGCTGCAGGAGCTGGGCCGCTTCAACAAGCTGGTGGTGCGCATGAGCAAGTCACTGGCCGAGCTGCAGAGGGTGAGCATGTCCGTGCGGAACTGTCTGCGTGCAGGGCCTGGGCTCTGGTGCGGGGTCTGACCGCTCTCGTCCTGCAACCAGGCCTTGGCTGGGGAAGTGGGCATGAGCAGCGAGCTGGACGATGTAGCCAGGTCTCTCTTCCTTGGGCTGATCCCGAACATCTGGAGAAAGCTGGCCCCAGACACCTTGAAGTCCCTGGGAAACTGGATGGTCTACTTCCTGCGGCGGTTCAGCCAGTACACACTGTGGGTGAGTGGTGGGGCCTTGGGGGGTTGGTTTCCTCCCCACACACTCTCCCCAGCAGTAATGTGGGGAAGCTTATGGGGGTTGTAGAGACGTCTGCAGAGTCCACAAGCGCATATCTTTCTTCCGTCTCCTCTTTGTTCTGGACTTGGCACACGCCGTATGTACACTGATCTGGGAGGCATCTGCACTTGCCCCACGTTACACGCGTGGGCCTGGCGTGTCCTTCCTGGAGTGCTCGTCTTCCAGCAGCCCACTCCCTTTCTCCTACCGCACACACGCAGGTGGTCGCTGTCCACACGTCTGTGAATATGCACAAGTGTGTCCTGTGGCAAAGTCCGGTGGTAGAAGTGTGTGCTTCTGAACTTTTATAGTCTTGTCCCAGGAAACCAGGAAACCCGCCTCTCGGCAAACGCATGTGTTCTGCATATTTTAGATCTTTATTCTCTGAGAGGTGAAAAACACTAATTGTTTTGTGTTGTATTTTTTCAACTATGCCGAAGCCTAGTATATTTCTTACACTAATAGACATTTCGTGTTTCTTTTTTTCTGAATGGTCTATTTCTATTGTGGTTTCACTTTTATTGAGGATGCCATCTTTCTTGTTTTTTTGTTTGTTTGTTTGTTTTTTAAGAGCTTTCTGTGTTAGAAACAGCCCTGTGCTTATGGTGTTGCATACAGCAGTACCTCAGTTCATGAAGTTATTTTTTGCCACTATTTTGGCCGAAAACCAAATTGGACAAGAACCAAATCAAATTTCCCCAAAAGATCAACATTGAACCTAACCATTGAATTTGATTTGGTTTGTGACCGGAATCATGGAAAGATTGAAGTTCATGAACCAAGGCAGCACAAGTCCTAAGTCTTGCCTCTGCATGCTGTGTTTTATCCACGGAAAAGTCCTGCTGTTTTTATGTAGTCAAATGTATCAGTCATTCAGCTTATGGCTCCCGGGCCTTGAACTCCCCATGCGAAGATGAGGAAACTGCTGATGAGATTTGGTCGGAACTTCTGTGGTTTTGACTTTACATTTCTGCTCTGCCTGGACCTGGGGGTCCAGCTTGCTCCCCCCGGCTGGTGCTATGCCGGAACCATTGTGTTGTCCCCAAGGTGAAATCCATCCTTGAGCACGAACTGCCCTCTGCGCAGGTCACTGAGAGCGAGCCGAGCGTCATGTGGCTCTCGGGGCTGCACATCCCAGAATCCTACCTCACCGCGCTGGTGCAGGCCACCTGCCGGAAAAATGGCTGGCCCCTGGACCGGTCCACATTGTTCACGCAGGTGACCAAGTTCCGGGATGCAGATGAAGTGAACGAGCGGGCGGGACAAGGTACTGTCTAGGGCTCCCTGGCCCCTCACTCCAGTCCAAAGGGACAAGTGTGGAGTGGCCAGAATGGGCCAGTTCCTGCTGGGAAGTCAGACCGTGGCCCGCCCGTGTGTGTGTGTGTGTGTGTGTG